TTTATTTAAGGGGACCCCGGAAAAAAGGGTTTCCCAGTTACCCCCCTTTCCCCGGTTTTTTTTTTCTTTTTTTTTTCCCCCCTTTTTTTTCTCTTTTTTTCGGGGGGGGGGGGGGGGGCGGGTTTCAAAAAGTTGGCGGGTCCGGCCTTCCCCTTTGTTGGGGAGCTAGGCCCTTCTTTCCGGGACAGGTGGTGGCTTCAAAGAAGGCGGGGGGGGGGGGGGGGCAGGGCAGCACAGCACAGCATAGCAATCGACAAGGCATGCGATCAGTCAAGAGATGGCGGCGCGGCCGTCCACAGCATTGTGCCATGACGCATTTATTTGGTGCAGCAAGACGTGGCATGGCGTGTGGGTGCATACATGTGACGCACAACCAACTACGTGAGGACAACGACATAAACAGAACAAAAAAAAAAAGGCAGCATGGAGAGCCACCCGACAGAGGGAAAACAAGTGCGTTCTGTATCTTGCTCTACAAAGCGGCGCCGACATCGGCCAACTGTCGTCAATCAAAACCAAGCAAAGCTTTCCCTCGGGAACAGTGCTACGGCCCAACCCTACCAGCATTTCGTCGGGGGAGTGCACATACGTTCCGAGACATCGATGACACTGACCTACTTCGGCATTTTCAACAGAGCGAAGACATGACATAACCATTGAGACAACGCGTGCAACCATAGAGGACCCTCAGGGGCGTAGTATCGGTTGCTGGTCGACGGAGGACCAGGCCAGGTTTCGAACGCGTCAGTCCGACCCGCTTCGTGTGTGACACAGAAGGCCAAAGGAAAGGCAACCACCCCATCAGCATCAGGAGCGACAGCGGCCATGTATGGGGTACGCATGCATGAAATGCACGCATGCATACGTAGGGCGCGTCCAGCAAGCACACTCACGAGGGCCTCCCCGAGGTTGCGGCATCCGCAGACGAAGGGCACTTGGAACTTGCGCTTGTTGATGTGGTTGTCCTCGTCGGCCATGGTCAGCACCTCCGACTCGTCGATGTAGTCCACCTCGATCGACTCCAGGATCTGGGCCTCCACGAAGTGGCCGATGCGTGCCTGTTGTTGTTGTCATGTTTTCAGGTTTTGGTGCTTGGATTGTTTTGTGTTTTAGTTCGGGGTGGTGAACAAGGGGCAAAAGATGCGGTCGGAAGACCAGGCATGCTTCCGATACGGATAGAGGTGTATGCTGCAACGTTTCACTCGCTCGCGAGAGGTCAAGGCAGAGGTGGTAGCCGTAGGTTGAAGCCGGGTTTTCGAGAGAACCGACCCGTGCCTGTCTCATTGGAGCGACGACATGACACTTCCTCTCCTTGCATCCACCGCCGAAGCCAAAAACACCAGTATGATAACAAGAAGGAGACACACGTGTGCAGTACAACGCTTGTCATGGGAATACGGCACTTCAAAAGACGACAACACGTGAAGGTCCAGCGTGGTGGATGGTTGAATACTACCTCGGGAACGTTTACTCTGCCCCCCCCCCCCTCCCCCCCCCCCGTTACCTTAGCCATGACGGGGATCGAGACGGCGGCCTTGATCTCTCGGATCATCTTGGGGTCCGACATGCGGGCGACACCTCCGTCCACCCGGATGTCGGCAGGGATGCGCTCGAGGGCCATCACCGCCACGGCGCCGGCCTCCTCGGCAATGCGCGCTTGCTCCACGTTCACAACGTCTTTTCCGACAGGGTTCAAAGCAGTAGGCAACATGCACCCGAACAGCAGCACCGTAAATGAAAATGAGCGAGGGCAAGTATCGGGGGAAGGAGGAGCCGGCGATCCCCGTGCGTGATGTCGACCGGGTGGCTCTTGGGGGGGAATGGTGGAGATGGGGATGCGCGCAATGGAATGCTTGGTACATGCCCTCCAGGCTGAGGGGTCAAGAGCGGATGCCTCTTGCGGGGACCAAACGGAAAACACTGCGTTGGCCAGCCACATTTCACGATTATTTTTGTGTTGTTTTGGCCTCCTGCAGGTTCTCCATCCCAAAGGAGCTGGAACCTCGCGGCCGATTGCAGGAACTGGCAAACCAGCTTTCAGGTAAACATATTGTGTAGGAAAGTTCAACCTTGTAAGTATCTTCCGGATTAAACTTAACATTTGCCAGAAACAACGCGAGGAGACCGCTCCTGTGGCGCTCTGTCGCAACCTGGCCGACGATGTATCAACAACAGAGGAAGCAAACAAGACAAGACTCCAACCGGTCCGAAACAACGAGCACGGACAAAAGCATCGCACACTTGTTGCGGTGGTGCCGACAATTCAAAACGTTTTGAGCATTGCTGGATCATTTGAGTACATCTGTCTCCCTCGCCGAAGAGCACACAAGCCGCCGCCAAAACAGCTGATTTGGCCGACTTGAGTGACTCACCCATGATCACGCCGCCCTTGAGCATCTGAGCCAGGCCGGCCTTGACGCGCATGGTGCCGGTCAGGGCTCCGGTCTCGGACGCCGTGCCGGCGCCGTTTTTCTCTCCATTTGTTTCTCCGGCCATGGTGTTGCTTGCTGCCGCAACACAAAGCAAAGGAACACGAGGAGCGAGATGCATGAATACCCTGTCAGGGCTGTATGCCCACATGAGTGATAAATAGAGCAAGACCACGGTTTGGGTCGGCAGCTGACGCGAAACAAATGATCTGAAACAATCGGCTAGGACGCGATTGACGTCAACTATGTGTTATCAAGGGAGGGAGATAATTTCCACCACGAGGCGTTAAGACACCCCCTCCTCCCGCTCCAACCTAGCACTACCAGGCAAGCTGATTCTCACGTCCATCGGCGGTGGTGTCTGATTAAGGGTAAGGGCGGTAGAAATTACCAGAATACTGCTATAGGGAAACAGCGGCATGGAAAACAATGAGTCAAAAAACACTGCTGTGTCAACCAGTATAATCGGCCAGCATCGTGCTGCGTCAAAACCATGTTTCACGCGGAAGAGACAAGCACCGCGACACGGGGTGCTTACAACTCTGGCGTACAAGATGGTTGACAGGGCAGTCTGCTTTCGTGAAAACGACGCAGCGTGTGACGCGAGGAATACATTTTTTCCAGCGGGGAGGTCGGCATGGATAGGGAGGCATACCGTTTTCCCCTTGGTCCAGGAAAAAAAAAGTCGAAAAGATGTTGACGGTCCGCTCGCTTGGGGGACATACACCAACACAAGTGATACGGTACTGCCGCAGTTGTTGCAAGGAGATACAGGAGGCTAAACAGTACAAAAAACGAAATGTTAATGTTCCACTTGAAGGAGAACGGAGAGACAACATCGACTAGATAACAAGACTGAGGACGCCTACTGATGCTCCCGACATTAGCCGAGATGGCAATATCTATCTGCGTAGATAACGCCCCAAGACGCAGAAAAGCACAAACCGGAAACGTTTCAAGTTGTTCCAAGCGATTAGTACTTCGAAATACCAAGAAATGATTGAAGCCGACGATCTGTCATGACCCGAATATTGACCTATCATATCATACCAACACGAAACGCACACAAGACAGAGTATTTTTTCCTCCTCGCTGCTGGCGAAATCATTTGTCCACCTCTGCCCGTAGCCAACTATTGAAAGAGCGTCAGCCCCCCGCTCGTGCCCGATCTCTCTCTTTTCCAACCAAATCACTCGCGAAACAACAATTGTGAGCCAACCGGATAATCAGGGACTCTAAAAAGCACGCATGATTGGCTGCGACCGAGCAAAAAGGCGATTACTTGCACGCGCGTGTGTTGGTGACAACAAGAAACAGAATGACAGATTGGGGTGCGAGAGATAAAGAGAGGAGTGCATACACCAGACCTTACCGGCATGGATGCGCGTTGTTTTTCGCACATAAATAATACGTCACGCGGGCGGAAGAAAAAATATTGCTTCCGCGGCTACACATTCTGGGCGCGCGGTCGGCCGCGGACTACGCTGCGCAAGTGGTTGAGCGATGGTCAACTAATTCGCTGAGCGACTACACACATCTCAAGCGCGCGCGTTCTTGTCACGAACCGAAAATACAAACACAACACCACTGCTGCTCGGCATAGGGGTCGAAGGCGAGGATCTTGCGGTACATCTTGCACGCAGGGATGATAATGATTGCACACAGCTGATGAGCTTGGATTTCAACGAGCGACTCACAGGCTGCTGTAGTGAACGAACAGACAGAGGCGTACAAAGCGTGCCAGCTGGAGATCTAGACAACAGGCAGCCACGCAGCGTGCTGGTGAGCGGGTCGCAGGCGGACCGTCCAATACACTTCAAATATTTAAGTGGTTGTTGGCCTGCGAAACGCTACCGTACCTAGTTGGCAGAGATGATAAGATGCCAAAAACACAAGGAATGACACGGCCGACCGTCGAATGCTTGGTCTGTGGTGCGTCCGCAGACAGGAATCAGTCACTCTAAATCCAAGCGATCTGAAAATGCTGGCCTGTGAGAGGCCTAGGGTTTAGTTAACCACCGGGTAGATGGTGGTAGGTTTCCATGGTGATCTCCGTGTCGGAAAAACGCAACATTTTTACCCTAAATAGCACGATCAAGTGTATAGCCCGACATATTGCTGTGTAGAACCTTTATCCGCGGCGGTGCACTGACCGGTGGAGTTTGGTTTTAGCGGTATTACCGGGCTTTTTAAAGTGTACTCCAAACCGGGGTGCAAGCAGGGTGTAAAAAATGCTGGTGTTGTGTCTTTTGCTGTATCAACCATTGGTGTCGACAAAGTCGTGAGGCCGCCTCTTGTCAATCAATGGCTCCAGTATGAGAGATCTGAGGGCAAAGAAAGGGCGCATCTATGTACAGCAGTAGGGGGCTTGGGTATCAGAAACCGATCGGGTCGAAGCCTCCATTTCGTTACTGTCGACACCGTCGACTCCAAGGTATTAGTAGTGTCGGGCCCTCGGCTCAGCGGTGTCCTCTAAATCCATTGTTCATACGAAGTATTATATAAGCCCTGTTTTTCTTCCATAGGCAATTTTTCGGCTGCGGGCCCGCATTGGAATTTCGTGTTTCATGGCATACAAAGCGTGGCCTTAGTACAGTATGTCCAACGCACCGAAGTGTCCGAACTGTTTGAAGTCGCGTCAGACGAGGGAGAACGAAATCACCAGGGCGCAGGGCGCGTGTGGACGTGGTTTTCAGACTCTCGGCGATTGGTGACATCTGCCGAGCCCGCCAACCGGCATTTACAGCTGCGGAACGCCCAGCAATGGAGAGGGATCTGACAAGCCACAGCAACAACCCTCCGGTATTATTGGCGGGTTCCGGTGAAGACTGTCGCGTTGGCGTAGTTCAAGCGTCTCCGGATGTTTTGTTGCGCTGTTGGTGCGAAGCGAAACTGCAACCACAGAGAGGGACGGACGACGACGACGCTACCATCGGTTCCTCCTCCCTGCAGCGCCGAGTCGGGTGCCGTACATCTTGCATGCCCAGCTTAGGTCGGAGGAAAACTACAAAGACTGTGAGTGTCTACCACCTACGGCTTCAAGTTCCACGATACAGAGAGAGGGCGCGCCGGGGTTACCAACATGACCACGCCCGGTGTGATCGCGCTGCTGGTGACCGACAGGGCCAGCCGGTTGCACATGTATGTTTCGAGCGGACCGTTGCCAGAGACAGCGCCGTGCTCACCTGTTCCTCTGAGCAGGGGACGGTAATTCCTTGAGCCTTCTGAGGTGCGGGGTGTGTGCGACGTCGGGGGTGTCTGCGTCGGCGGGCGAGAGACGGCGGTGCGGTTGGCTCAGGGTCAACCCCTGAGCGGGCTGTTTCTGGTGGTCGCGCGCGCCACCTCAGGTAGAACCCTTGAGAACCTAAAACCTCGAAAACCTAGTGGAACTCCGATGTCGAGGGGGGGGGGGCTCCGCAAAATGGTCTTGGCCGTGTTGCTGTTGTGTTCAGCCGCCAGAGTGCAGCGGCAAAACACTCGCGCCACCGCGGACACAGCCAGCAGCTTGTAGTTCGCCGAGTACTCGCTCACCCTCAGTCGATTACTGGGATTGGTTCGATATGGTCAAGAGAAGGCGAAGCAACGGCCCTCCTGCCGCTGCCGATCCGGAGGCTGCCGAAAACTCGTCAACTTCTTTCAGCCAGTCAGCGGACAAGCCACCAGCAGCAGTAGGAGAGGCCGCGGACGCGGAAGACCGACAAGGATGCAAGGATGCCAAGGAGGAGGAGGAGGAGGAGGAGGGTGAGGGACACGATATACCTGCAGTAGCCGGGCAGGAGGGTGACGGGTCAGGCGAAAAGCGAAAGCGAAAACGAACGCGGACGCGGAAAAAGAAGAAGGGCGGCGGCGCAGGTGGTGAAGGTGCCGATGAAGAGGGCGAGGAAGCGGCCGGTGGTGGAGGTGGCGGGGTTGCCCGGGGTGGAGGGGGGGGGGGGACGATGTCGGACACTGTTTACGTGAGTTTTTGCAGTGCGCGCTGATATTGATTTTCTGTTGAGAGTGTGTGGTGGGGTCGACCTCAACAGCCAGAAATGCCGGTCTCATGAACAGTGCGGTAAAAGACGAGCACACAGAACACTGCCGTATTTCGCGTTGAGGTTGGTGAAGCAACGCCCTCTCACTTGCCACGTTGGCTGACCGATCTTGTACGGCTGCGGTGGCAGCAAGAGTACGGGGTGTGCGCATAGCTGGTGACGCCATCGGCGATTGGCGAGAGTACAAACGCACCGAGAGAGTGAGTTAGTCTAGGCAGCAGTATCGTGCGAGCGGCCTGTTTCTGCAGGAGCGTACGAAAACAAATCCCGTCTGCTTGCTGTAGACTACAAACGGCACCAGTCATCCTGCACAAACAACGAAGCACCTGTCTTTGGGTACATGCAACCAGCTTCGTTTCCAACACAACCGAGACATCCTCTCACAACTACTCCAGTCGCCCCCATCCTGCTACCAACGAACGCCCTTTCGCCCCGCCGCCATCTCGCCAACAACGCCCGGAACTGACCGCGAAACATGTCAGGTCGAGGGCATCCCATGGACCTGCGATGAGAGCGACGTCCGGGAGTTCTTCAAGGGCTGCGGCAAGATCACCGACGTCCGGATGCCGAGGTGGCAGGACTCCGGCCGGCCCCGCGGCTACGCGCACGTGGCCTTCGCCGGCTCCAGCGGCGCGCGGGCGGCGTTCGGGCGCGACGGGCAGTACCTCAACGGGCGTTACCTCACGGTGCAGGTGATCAGGGGTGGAGTGGGGCACACACACACACACAGACACTTTGATCAGCCGATTAGCGCGGTCGATGCTATAATAATAATACACACACACACACACACACACTAAATGCCATCAACTGGGACCCCTGACGGGGTGCCAGTTAACGACATTTAGAAGTTTTTTGTGTTTTCAACCGCACTGAGACTGACGTATTTTCTTTGGTCAACCGGTTAGCGCGGTCGATGCTAGTAAGAAAGACACACACACGCACACGGCCGGGGCAGAGAGCTGGGTGGTTGTTGCGTTCGGTGGCGGGGGTGAAGCGAGATCGTGGTTGCTAGTGCTCTTCGGTCGTAACGTGGTGTTGCTGATGTCGCGGACGTTTTTTTTGGCGGGGCTTGGTGTGTCACCGGCGTTGGATGGCCGTGGCTTTGTTTTTGTTTCATTCACCCCCGTTCATGCACGTCAAACCGAACAAGTTTTATTTTGGTTTTTTGTTCCGGTGGGTGTTGTTTTCTCTCCTGAGTTACAGACAACCAGACGAGCTGCCAATTTCACTGCATGGCGAGAATCGTGCAAGAGCGAAATGGGCTGGCCGCCACTGCCATTGTTTGTTCCGCGCACCGAACGTTTGTGCTCTCCGCGAGAGCTCCTTTCCGTGAGGGAGTCCCCCACTTTCAAAAACCACACCGATCATAGCACCAATAACAAACACATCATGATCTATGAGATGTACGGCAGCAAATAACGGTAGAAAGCAACAACCACGCCCTGCAGGCACCGCAAGAGCCCGCGACGGAGAAGGCGAGGCGAGCCAACCGCAAAGCGGAGCAGCCGACCGGGTGCAGGACGGTCTTCGTGAAGAACTTGCCGTACGACGTGGATGAAGACGCCGTCAGCGAGGCCCTCGCCGGCTGCGGACGCATCGCCTCCGTACGCCTGGCCATGTGGAACCACACTCGCAAGCTCAAGGTAGGAATGTTTTGAAATGGGGGGAGAGAGTGTGACGCGAGCCAGAGTTGGATAGGGGGAAGGCCTGACCAATTTGAATTTTCAGAACCATGGCGTTGTCCAAATGGTGGCGAAAACTGGTGTGCGCAACTTGATGGAAAGTGCCGACTTCTCGGCGAGCATGTCTTTGGGAGAGACTCGCAGCTCAGTGGACGTACACAGGCGCAGTGGCTCACGCCTCTTTTGTGTGGCATGCCGGGGAGCAACCCGTTCGTCACATCCTGCTGTTACGGCTGATGAATGATTGTATCCCCAAGACCGCGTCTTGTGTCTCGCGCCCGAGGGGGAACGGCCTCCAGCGGGGGTAGTCCCGATGCAACGACCGCCTGTTCAGCGACATGCCCTGCATTCGTAGCAACTACGATATCACGTGGCACGGCTGTACCGCCGTGATATGGTAAAATATATCCTGGGCATTTAGCAACCTGCCCTCAACAGCAACCATGACCTGACAATGGGGGTCCCACCACTGCATGCAAGGAGAGCACCGCTCCCACCACACCGACCAAAACCCGCCGCGATGCCTCCGTCGAATTTTCGTTTTGCTCTTGCGAATTGTTCACGCTGCCGACCACGGGGGACATCGCGCGAAAAAGGGGTTCGGGTACGTCGAGTTTTCGACAGAGAGGGGGGCAGAGACGTGCGTCCGGACGCAGCAGAACCTGTCCATCGGGGGGCGGCCGCTGGTGGTCGACTTCGAGACGGGCGCGCCCAAGGGCTCCTTCCGGAGGCAGGACGGGGCTCAGATAAAGAAAACCTCGGCCGACGCCGGGGTCGGGAAGGGGAAGGCTCCCAAGTTTAAGGTTCACGTTTGATACGGGGGAAGGGGGGGACCGAACTGGTACCGCGTGCTTATGGTCAGTGGGAGGAGGAAAGGCGAGCGTTGTGTCATGAGTTTGCTGGCGGCTGGGCATGTGAAGGTACATGTATTAGTTGTAAGCCATGCTTGCGCGGGCATGTGTGGCAGCTACTGCCCTGAACTGCTTACCCACAAGCGCGGGGTGAGGATGAGAAGTGGACGTTCCACGGATGCAGGAATCTCTTGTTTCCGACCCCCCGAGGCAGCACCCGTGCGCGTATACTTCAGTCACACGTTCGTAACAGTAGGTGCCGGCGGATTTGTTTGTTTTTGTTCTTGCCTTGGTCATTGGTTGACATGGCAGGCCATTGACCACACGCTGCCCTTCGAACGCAGAGGCGGGGCAGGATTCGAAGGAGTGTGTGTCACGCCTTGAGAATGGCAATCCTGACGGTAGGGTAGTCGAGGCCCCATCAGTGTTGCGTGAGACACTGCTGACGTGCTGAGGAGGTTACGATGATCCATATGAAAGAGACAGCGCGAAACACTAGTGGTGAAGCCTTCGTCCCACTGGGGGTGATAAACCGAAGGTGATCAATATGGGAAGAGAATCTGCGTCATATCCCAAGGCCATCCAAGGCTATAGGTGCGAGGGTTGCAGATCGCATCGACCCGGAAAGTGCGGAAAGAGCAATAATCTCATGCCTGTAGAGGACCAACGTCAACCAAAGATTAAGGAATAACACTAGTAGAGAGGGAGTTCCACACTGGACACCCGTCCGTTGCTGAAGTGTTTTCTAGCGAAAGATGGTGTGCAACCCCACCTCCAAACATACACACTCAAACACACACACAATCGGCATTACATCACCCATCTTGAGTGTGGCTCCAAGCCACCCCCAAGACAGCAGTATATGCTCTGTTCCTGAACGTCACGAAAACCAGACACAACTCAAACAAATTTCCACGAGCTACATGCGCGTGCGCGTACTACACGTGACGATAGTTTTAGTCTTCGTACGGAGGGCAAACGTGTTCGTCCACTCCGTAGGTAAATCGATGTGTCGCCCTCCCGGGTCGTTTCCTTACGGAAATGTACACACCCAGGTTCTGCGCGTCACACGGCACCACGCTCTTTCTCCCCAGCACGCCCTAGCATACCGTTGCCGTTGCCATGATTCAACAAATCACAACATCGCCTTCGACAGCAGTTCGAACCTTTGTAAAATTAGCACGCACACACACGAAATCACGGCAGCGTCGTTTCTACCCCCGCCCCCTGAAGGCAGTGCTCATCAAAAAACGCTTAAGTTTGGCGGCCTGTTGCGCCGTCATGCCCGGAACCGAGGCCTGAAGCTCCCTTGCAGAACTGGAAATCCAATAGAAAAGAACAACATCCCGGTACGGAGGAAGCGAGGGGGGGGGCGGTGGAGTGGGGTGGTAGGCCACATAGAGTTCAGCAGGCATTCGGTGAGAGAGAACGGTTGCGTCGGTTTTACGTGCTGCACCTTGGTCGGATGATGCTGATGAAGCAAGCAGTAAAGTCCTTGCCCGTAAGCAGGCTCGAGCCCCCCAAAAACATGCCATATACTTGGCAAAACCGTGTGCACGTTGATACACACCTCCCAAAACACGCACACAAGACTCAAAAAACACTCCCTTCTTTTCTCCCGGGCCAACAAGAAAACACACGAGCGCGCGAGGGCGGCGAAGAGGAACGAAGCACAACACCACCGGCCAAGCGAACAGCGTTCTCGTCGACCTGGCCCACATAGTTCACCACGAAAACCACCAAAATACTTCCAAGTACGCAGGCTACACTTCACCTTGCGACGACTTCTTTTCCGGACCTGCCCCTGAAGGCCTCAAGCATCAAGAGTCCCCCAGGGTACGACAACGTCGGCGCTCGCAGCAGCGCCGACAAGAACTTGGTCTGGGCGGGCGTGAGCGACGGTCCCGTGACCTGCGAAGGGGGACCGAGCGAGCAAGAGAGAGGTAGATTATGGTGGAAGGAACGGGAAACTTTTTCTACACACATATGGACCGCTTTCCTATCCCCTCCTGGACGGATCTCGATTCTCAATACGGTAGTTGTGTGGCACGAAATAAGGCCTGGCGCGCCACTCCCTCGCCCAATGTGTTTCGTGCACGGTCGTGCGTTAACCGTGTCGACAATGTTTTGACACGACCAAAACCTCGGCGGGAGAAACTCCAGCTTCAGTGCCAACATCCCTGTTCCTCGCAGTATTATCTAGCAGCGCCGATTATCATGTACTGCGATGCAGCGATTCCACGAGAAACGGCACCCACAGACCGATCACGAAATATGCACACGATAGAACAACCACCTTCCCTCATATTTCTCCTCCTTGTCCCCGTCCCGATTCGATCCAACCAAGACCCGCCCTTTTTTCTTTTCCCTTCCCCCGAAACACTCGCTGCGAACGCAGTCATGGGGAGCAGAAATCGAAGAGGCCTCTCTCCACTCACCACCTTGGGCAGCCCGAACCCGTCGTTCTCTTCTCGCCGAACCAGGCCCTCCACCTTATCCGCCGCGTCCCTCCACCCCTGGCAGGCGACCACGCTCGCGCCGCGCAGGGCCTCGACTTTCCCGACGGCTTCTCGTGGTCCCCCCCCGCCACCACCACCACCACCACCACCACCGCTACCGCCCACGTCTTCCCCCAGCCCTTCCACCGCCACCACCACGCGCGCGTACCGCTGGAGGGCCCCTCTGAGGAGCGCCACCAGCGGCGGCGGGGCCGCCCCCTCCCGCCGCGACGGCGACGACGGCGACGAGTGAGTCTGCGACAGGAACTGCTTCCGGGTCCGCACGCACACGGCGCACTGCGCGCCCACCGCCAGGTCTACGTCCCGCCCCGAACCGGCGTCGCCGCCGCCGCCGCCCAGGGGAGTCGCGTGAAGGACGATCCCCGCCCGGGGGCGAAGCTCCCTCGCAAGGGGCTCCAGCGTCGCCGCCCTCGGCGCCGAGAAGGGCACCACCGCAGCCGGAGCCGGTCGCGGCGAAGACAACTTTGTCGGCGCCGCAGTAGCGGCAGCAGCAGCAGCAGCAGCAGCAGCAGCAGCAGCAGCAGCAGCAGCAGCAGCAGCAGCAGCGGCGGCGGCGGCGGGAGCACCAGAAGAAGCCGCGGCGTTTTTCTGCTGGGATGCCCAGGGCGCAGGTGCCCCGCCAACGCTCCCGCTCCCGACTGCCGCGCGTTCCTTGTCGCGGGAGGACGAGGACAAGCTAGGACCGGCGGCAGCGGACGACGACGAAGGAACCCCAGCACAAACGACGGCAGGTTTGCGGCCGCCGCTGCCGGCGCCGCCGCCGCCGCCTTCAGCATCCGAGT